TAACTTTCCTACAGACTAAATAATAAATACTGATTTGGGTTATTTTCACCAAAGAAATGTAGCAGAATACATCTTGGTCTAAAATTTATGAAGAACAATTATTTATTTGCAAACTTTTATAACAGAAACAAAGAAAATCGTGGGGGTTTTTTTTTCAAAATTTTCGGTCTTTTTTGTTAATTTAGCAAATAATAAAAACTCCAGTGTTGATTAAATACCACCAAAATAAAGCTCTAGTTGTGTGAACAAAATGATAACATTTTAGTTTTGGTACAATGTTGCATGACCACGCAATTGTCATTCAAAATGTGAGAGCGCTGCAACCTGAAAATTGGCCTGGGCAGGAAGGGGGTAAAAGTGCCCGGTATTGAAGTGGTTAAAATGTTACTAAACCCAGGACCCTTCATTCACTATATCTGGTCTCCCACAGTATACAGAACATGGAAGTGACATTATTTTAGTAAATATAACCTGCTAAATATCTTTTCTCATCAGCAGTTAGAGCAGTCTTGTGACCTCTATCAATGTCCAGCCGAGCACTAGTTAAAGCTTGTAGGAGGAGTTTTAAATTTGTTCTAGGAAGATGCAGAAGCCCTGACCTCTGTCTGGAGAATGCTGATTGGCCCTGTGCTGATCACATGCGCTCTCCCAAGAAACAAAAAACCTCTCTAGCAATACACACCAAACAGAGCGACTCCACACTATGGGGTTTATTTACTAAAGCTGGAGAGTGCAAAATCAGGTTAGCTTCTGCATAAAAACCAATCAGCTTCCAGGTTTTATTGCCAAAGCTTAACCGAACAAGCTAAGGTTACAAGCTGATTGGCTACCATGTACAGCTGCACCAGATTCTGAGTGAACCAGCTTTAGTAAATCTCCCCCTATATGTCTTATCAGGAGATAAGAGGGAGACACTGGAAGAAGGGGAGAATCAGAGGAGTCAGGATCAAACAGCGTTTTTACAAAATACGGAGGATTAACTCCTTAGGTTCCACAGTGAGTATACCAAGCATGCGTTACTGCAAATACAGACTGAATTTACTGTTGTGGGTTTAGTAACACTTTAAGCTTTGACAATAAAAACCTGGAAGCTGATTGGTTTCTATGCAGAGCTGTACCAGATTTTACATTCTCCAGCTTTAGTAAATCCACCTCATTTTGTCTTTAGATACACTTTAACATGTTAAAGCTTATATGAGCATTTAGTTATTGTATTTGGATATACTTTAAATTGTACATGCATTTAATGTTACTGTTTTACCTCCACTAATAACATACAGTAGAACAGTCCAACTACATTGGTAGAGATTGAAGGGAGATTTAGAAAAGGATGTGCAAAGGCTATCTTTGCAAATACACACAACTAGCAAGTTTATATACATAATTTAATATGAAACTACACATTTGCTATTATAAATTATGCACACCTGGGACAAATAATCTACACTAGAGCACTACATGGGAATTTATTGAAAAATGTGCAAATGATATTGTTAATCACATGCAAACATGAAGAAAATCTGCAGAAATATAAAAAGTGCAGACACTTCTTAAAATTTTCAAAACAGAATAAACTCAGAATGCAGCTTGTAAATAACTTAAAGTAGACCTCCAGCTTGTAATTGTTTAAATGTATTGCTCAGCAAGTTTTAAAATGAAAAATGCAGCTTTTACCACAATAACTCACCTGCAGACTCACGTCTCTAGTTGTCCATTGCTGGTCTTCTTCTGAGTTAAATGATGGTCGGTGTCATTTAACTCTTTTCCTCTGAGACCAAGCAGTCCTTTTTCCTTAAAGCATATCTAAAACTAAAAAAATGTGTAATTTATTGTAGCTCATCAGTCCTTAGATATGTTGGCTGCAATAGTTCTCTTTTCAGCAAGTACAGAAATTTCCTTCGGCAAATGTTTTTATTGAGCTCTGTCATTTCAAAGCCAATGTTTCTAATATTTAGGGACTCTTTGATGACTGGCATAGTATCACTGGATTGGTGTAAGGCAAATGTGGTGCCAATATTTAAAAATGGGTCAATCTTTTCCAAGTAATTATAGACCTGTTAGTTTAACTGTTATAGTTGGGAAGATACTGGAGAGTTTAATAAAACACCACATAGATGAGTTCTTGCTGATAAAAAAATACTTTAACCTCTTGGCGAGCAGCCGCACATTTGCGTGCAATTAAGAAAAACATATGTGCTGAGAGAGCACGCGCTCTGCACGCTCCCAGCACACATGTCCGCTACTCATGGAAAGGTCCCGATCTCCTCTTTCGATCGGGACCTTTCCCGATCATGTGACGGCGAATCACAGCGGTCACATTACCCTAAAACCCAGCCCCGCCTCCCGGCTTCTGAAACTCTTAAAGGGCCAGGAGGCGCTGGCGCCAATTGGTTAAGCAACAGACAGCATAGATTCATGAAAGACAGAAGTTGTCAAACAAATCTGATTTCTTTTTATGAGGAGGTGAGCAAAACCTTGGACAGAGGGGTGGTGGTGGACATGGTATACTTGGATTTTGCAAAAGCATTTGACACAGTTCCCCATGTGCTAATGTGTAAGGTAAAATATACGGGCTTGGAAAAATCCAAATGTAAATGGATAGAAAACTGACTAAAAGATCGTATTCAGAGAGTAGTGGTTAATGATTCATACTCTGAATGGTCTAGGGTCATCAGTGGTGTACCCCAGGTACAGTGTTGGGACCCTTACTTTCTAATATATTTATAAACGATATAGGGTCTGAGATTATAAATCATATTTCAGTCTTTGCAGATGACACCAAGCTGTGCAGTGGAATAACGTCCTTACAGGATGTCTCCAACTTACAAGCCGACCTCAATGCACTGTTCAATTGGGCAACTATGTAGCAAATGAGATTTAATGTTGATAAATGTAAGGTTATGCACTTGGGGGATAAGAATATGCATGCATCATACATACTAGGGGGGGTACAACTGGGAGAATCAATGGTGGAGAAGGATCTGGGAGTTCTGGTAGATCACAAACTTAATAATGGCATGCAATGCTAAGCTGCGGTTTCTAAAGCGAGCAAAATCCTCTCTTGTATTAAAAGAGGTATAGACTCCAGAGAGAGAGATATCATATTACTCCTGTACAAATCATTAGTAACACCTCATCTGGAATATGCAGTTCAGTTTTGGGCACCAATTCACAAAAAGAAGATTGTGGAACTTGAGAAAGTGCAGAGAAGGGCAACTAAACTGATAAGAGGCATGGAGGAGCTCAGCTATGAGGAAAGATTAGAGGAACTGAATTTATTCTCTCTTGAGAAGAGGAGATTAAGGGGGGATATGATCAACATGTATAAATACATCAGTGGTTCATATAGTGAACTCGGTGTAGAGCTATTCACCCTGAGGTCATCACAAAGGACAAGGGGGCACTCTTTACGTCTGGAGGAAAAGACATTTAATCTCCAAACACAGAAAGGTTTCTTCACAGTGAGAGCTGTGAAAATGTGGAATAGACTCCCTCAAGAGTTGGTTCTGGCCAGCTCAGTGGATTGCTTTAACCTCCTTGGCGGTATTCCCGAGTGTAGCTCGGGGTAACATTTCAGTACCAAAAGCGGTAACCCCGAGCTACACTCGGGCTTACCATGCGGCGCTGCTCCGGCATGTGTTCTTCACTTACCTTACCCCGCGCTCCCACGATGTGTCCCCTGTAGCGTCCCCGGCCATCTCCTCCGGCCGATGCCGGCATCCGGCTTCTGTGTCCTGTCCCTGTGACGTCGGGACGTATGGGCGCCGCCGCCGCCGGGAAATTTAAAAATTTTAAAAAATGTCATTTTTTTTTTTTTTTTCATTTTACACAGTAAAACATTGCTGTTTCAACCTATTTCACATACATATTGTCCCTAGTGCTTTGTCCTGTGCCCTGCCTGCATTTTGTCTGTTCTTTCTGCCTGGAAACTGAGAAATGTCCATGGCGTCCAAAAAGTGTCCCTTTAGGTCAAAAGCGGTTTAGATCAGCTAGACAACAGCGATAGTAAATCAGAACCACTTACAGAATTGAGTGATAATGATTCGTGGGGGAAATTCGTCATCAGAAACTGAAAACGATTTTGCGACTGAGCTCAGCAATGTGCGAACTTGGCGCTCTATTTCACATTTCAGTGTTTTTGGTTTGATTATATTATTGAATTATATTTTTTTATTATTTTTATATTATTTTTATGATTATTTATTAAATTATAATTTATGATTTTGTGTTTCAAATTTTATCATACCCGAGATGTTTACTAGACTCTTGTTCGGACAGATTTCAGTGAGTTTTTCCTAAAAATTACAGCCTACAATAAAAAAAATACATATTTCCATGCAAAAAAAAATGGTACCGCTTTCAGCACCAAAAATCTGAAATAATCATACCGCCAGGGAGGTTAAAAAAGGCCTGGATTGTTTCTTAGGTACACAGAATACAACTGGATACTAACATTTATAGGTAAAGTTGATCCAGGGAATATCCGATTTCCTCTCGTTGGATCAGGAAGGAATTTTTTTCCCAGCAGGAGCAAATTAGATCATGCTTTGCTGTATTTTTTGCCTTCCTCTGGATCAACTGTGGGTATAGGATTATAACTTTTTTTTTTTTCTATGGTTCAACTGGATGAACTTTTGTCTTTTTTCAGCCAGACTAGCTATGTAACTATGTAATTCTAGACTACAGTTCTAGAAAACTCTCATACCTTGTTGAACACTGTTACAAAATACACTGCAAAAGCTTGGTAGTATGGAGAGGTTCAAGTAGAATGCAAATGTGTCAGATGACACTTGTAATATATCAATAATAACTTGAGTCCATGTGCATCGGTACAGACAGGGCTGGTGCTAGACTATTTTGCACCCTAGGCAAGACCAGCTACTTGTGCCCCCCCCCCCCCAAAAAAATAATAAAATAAATTAAACTTTTTTATAAACAGTAGAAAATATTAAATCAACAAAACATGAAACTGCTAAACTTCTTTTAATTTGCAAAAATAAGTGCCATAAGTTGCCACCAGCACCAAAGACAAAATCAGTGTCACGGACGGACTGTATCTATGGCTGGCAGTGGCAGGGTGACAGTTGCAATGAGTGGAGGATGATGGATCCACACTCTGATAGATCCCTGGCTGGAATTCCCCAGGCAATGGGGGGAGATAAAAACGCTATGACAGCAGACAGCCCAGCCCATACACACACACACACACACACAGAACACCTGAACTAAGCGATCCCACACAGTGATAGATCCGACACAGCACACCACCACTGACACAGATCAGCAGACCCAGCAGGCACTGGAAGAGTAGGCTGGAGGATCGTAATGATCTCATCACTCACTGACACATTGCACATGTGATGGATGGCCAGCCGGGTCACACTTACACAGACATCAGAGTCAGACATTACCTTCCTGCGCAGATGCAGCTCCGCCTCCGCTGATGAATGGGAAGAGAAGGGCTGGAACTCCACAGTGATCAACAGACACCAGTTGACTTGCAGTAAGGGACTGAGTCTGAGAGGAACACTGGAAGGAGCAGGAGATCAGCTGCTACACTGGCCCCAGACACCCAGTTTCTTCCTCTGTCTTTCCTTTCTTCCTCCCCTCTGCTTCCTCTCTCCTCGGCTGAAGGATCATTCATGAGGTGGCAGCGTCCCACACAGAGAGACTGCTGTCCTGTGCTGCACCCAGGTGCCCCTAGGTGGCAGTGCACCCTAGGTGGCTGCCTAATTTGCATAGTGGAAGCACGGACCCTGGGTACAAATTTTGATAAGTATAAAGCATAAGTGTTTGTTCTCTAAACACTAGAAATAACACCTGAGATCACTAATCACTCTACCCTGCACAGTTATGAGTTTTTAAAGCTTTAACAGAGTCAAACCCTGCCTGTGCAAATTAGTTGAGAATGCACTTGTTGGCCTCTCCAATCTTGGAAAGGCAAACATAAATGGTCACTCTACTTTGATCTCAGACTGCTGACATGAGGTCCAGTTGCTGATTGCAGAAGAATTCACCCAACCACTGGGGCAGGAGAAATATGTTGTAGCTAAATCTTTCTTTACATTTATCGCTTTTATTTTCCATAACTGTTTCTATATCTTCCTTTTTGACTCTTTGCAAGTTTTTGTTTCAAAGCACTGCTCGCCTTTAGGTATATTTAATATAACATTAATTATCTGGGTTTTTATTGCTCAAAATTACAAAAAAGATAGATAGTAATCTTGATGGTGTATGTTTGCACTTACTCTTTAGTAAAATTGTCAGGTTTAAATGACCTTTTAGTTGTCAAAGAAAGCAGTGACTTTAACCGCCTCCCACCCGCCATATAGTACAATGACGGGCGCAAGGCGGCTCTCTAGTTCTGGGAGACGTCCTCTCATTCTAACCACGCATGTGCAGCTCCGGAAGCACGCAGCATGGCGATTGGCAGTGTGCTGTGTCCCTCGGACACAGCGGATCAACGGAAAAAGCCGAAGATGTCGGCTCAGTCATGTTATCAGTTGTGTCCAATCACAGCTGATCACATGTAAACAGGGAAATGCCGGTTATCGGCATTTCTCATGAGCTGTCACGCTGACAGCTCAAGAGGAGAGCCGGTAATCAGCATTCCTCAGAGGGGATATGGCACTGATGATCAGTGTGCCCTGATGATCTATGTAGCCCCAGCAGTGCCACCTGTCAATGTCCATCAGTGCCAGCTGTCAGTGCTCATCCGTGTCACCTGTCAGTGCCCATCAGTGCCATATCAGTGCCACATTTCAGTGCCCATCAGTGCCACATCAATGCCACATATCAGTGCTCTTCTGAGCTGCCATTCAGTGTCACCCATCAGTGCCAGTCAGTGCCACCTATCAATGCCAGTCAGTGCCACCTATCATTGCTGCCAATCAGTGCCACCTATCAGTGCCAGTCAGTGCCACCTATCAGTGCCAGTCAGTGCTGCCTATCAGTGCTGCCTATCAGTGCCCGTCAGTGCTGCCTCTCAGTGCCGCCTAACAGTGCCAGTCAGTGCCACCTATCAGTGCCAGTCAGTGCTGCCTATCAGTGCTGCCTATCAGTGCCATATATGAGTGCTGCCTTTCAGTGCCCATCAGTGATGCCTGTCAATGCCCATCAGTGCCACCTATCAATGCCTCCTCATCAGTGCCCATCAGTGCCACCTATCAGTGTCCATTAGTGCAGCCTATCAGTGCCCATCACAACAGCCTCATTAGCACACATCTGTGAAGGAGAAAAATCACTTATTTACAAAATTTTATAACAAAAACTAAGAAAAAAAATTTTTTTTTTTTCAAAATTTTCAGTGGTTTTTGGTTTGTTTAAGAAAAAATAAAAAACCCAGAGGTGACTAAATACCACCAAAATAAAGTTCTGTCTGTCACAAAAAAAATTATAAAAATTTCATATGGGTACAGTGTTGCATGACCACGCAATTGTCATTCAAAGTGTGACAGCGCTGGAAGCTGGAAATTGGCCTGGGCAGGAAGGGGGTATAAGTGCCCTGTAGGCTAGTGGTTAACCCTTTGAGGACCAAGGGACGTATTTGGTCCCATGTTTTTAATTGCGTGTATCATCTGATTAAGAACTTAAAACTCTTTTTTTTCTTTTGGTTTGAGTCAAAATATTAGTTCTTATCAACAAACAACAAATGGATCTAGCTTTTTGCCAATTATTTCATGAAATGGCTTAGTTACAGCAACTGAAGTGTACGAACTTTAAAAACAAAAAAATTGATTCTTTTGGCATTCCAAAACCTTACGGTCCTCAAAGAGTTAAACATCAGAATTGTGGGTCTCCCAAAAGTCCATAATGTGTGGGTGGTGGCATCTGGTCTATGTTTGTACATCATTTGTCCCCCACATGCTGTATACTACTGTTTAATCATTTCTACTCCAACAATTTAACAACAATTCATAGCTTCACCCATGTAACTTGAACATCGCAGATTTCATGGTACAATGATAATTGGTTTACATAATTAAAACAGGGTTGTTTCACAAACTTTCACATCTCCTATCATGTTATTGAACAATCAACATCTGCCTTCACACATTCCATCCTTATTGGATTGAAGTGACTGTCTTACCTGTGTGGCTATAAATGCTGTTCTTGACACTCAGAACTGATGAAGCTTCTTAAATGAGTGGTGAAATGTCTTCAACATTACAGATCACCTCTAGTTGAATGTGACTAACTACTATTAGCTATACCATGACCTGGATAAATCAGAACCTTCACAGACAAATCCACTACTATCTTGCGGAATAAATTACAAAAGCAGTCTCCGCTGCGTGACACTAAGGATCAACTAGGGATGTATAGTGGACTCAGTGGAGGGTCCATTTACACTTGTCCATATTACTGCATGAAAATGCAATTATTTAATGCAAGTATAAATCCCATTCATTACTATGTGATTAGTATAAATCTTTTGTACATTTTAGCACATTTGCAAATTGGGAAATTTCTCTTCTGTTTACGTATCCCAGACTTTGCATAAACCTTGAGCAAAAACATCACTAAAACACCTGAACATTGCATCTCACCTCCTGTACAGTGCCAGGGTTTCCTGAAGACCAGGGCATTCTATACTACAAATACTGTGTTCAGAGCAGGGGCGGACTGACCATTTGGAAACTCGGGCACTGCCCGAGGGCCCGGGGCCAGTAGGGGGCCCCATGAGGTGCCTTTTTCATAGGCTTTTTTGAGTTTGGGCAAGGACACAGGGGCCCCATGATACCCTATTGCCCGGGGGCCCTATGAGTTGTCAGTCCACCCCTGGTTCAGAGCTCAGGTTTTTTTTACTCTGTAACATATTATTGTAGGGCTTACAAGACATGCAAACCCATGAATCAGGTGGTATTTTTATACATTTTGGACAAATCAATACCTCATGGTTTTGTGTGTTTTGGGTCTTTTTTTGGTCTACTTAACCACTTGCCTCCCGCTAACCGTGCATATACTGCTAGTGGGCTGCACAGCCAGGCAAGGGGACATACTGGTATGTTGCCTAGCACATGTGCACTAGAGCGCCCCCTGGGACTTGCAGTGCACGGTCCTGGCCACAATCCTGGACACAGCGGTTCAGGAAGCTCCATGTCTGGCAGCTGTGAGCAGCAGGGGTATCACGTGATTGCTATGATTGGTCATAGCGATCACATGATTACAATGTAAACAAAACAGTCATGAATGGTTTCCATTCTCATGCATGGTTTCTATACTGCACTGCAAAGTATGTAAAAGAAATTGTGAAAAAAAAAATTTGATTTAATTGCTTCATTTTTCAAATATTTTCACAAAAAATTACAACTCGCCATGCCTTTTACTAAAAATCTTGGACTTTCTACTTTTCAAAAGGGGCCATTTGGGTGTATTTATACTGTTCTGACATTTTTAAGGGCCTCAAGAAATGAAAAAGACTGTCAGTACATCAGGAAATGAATTTTCAAATATACTGTATGTACCATAGTTTGTAGATTGTATAACCTTCACACAGACTATATACATAGATTTTTGTTATTTTTACAAAAACAAATTTAGTATATTACATTTTGGCCTAAATTTTTGATGAAAGATTATTTATTTGCTAAATTTTATTATTACTTAGTTAAAAAATAAGAAAATTGTTTTTTGTTCAAAATTTTGTGGTATTTTTTCGTTTTATAGCAAAAGAGTAAAAAAAACACACTGGCGATTAACAATGGCCAGAAGAAAGCTAATTTTATGTGAAAAAAATAACATTTTACTCTGGGTACAGTGTTACATGACCAAGCAATCTCCAGTTAAAGTAGCAAAAAATGCTCTGGTCATGAAGGGGGTGAATCCTTCAGGAGGTCAAATGGTTAAAGCAGTTAAAGCGGGGCTCCACCCAAAAGGGGAAGTTCCGCTTTAATGCTTTGTCCCCCGCTCCCCATTAAGGATTGGCACCTTTGGGGAGCAGGGGGGAGCGGGTATCCAAATTTGACAGGATGAATTTGTTCCCACTTCCGCTGAGATCGCCTAGGCAATCGGAAATGGAAGTTGTCCTCCCTGCCTGTAGTCTTCTGGGACACGTGAAAGGTCCCACAAGACTACGGGGCCATTCACAAAGCGCAGCGCTTCTCACGCATGCGCAGTGGGCACCTGGCTGTGAAGCCACAAGCTGTCACAGCCAGGTGCCCACACTAAAGATGTCAGCGCCAGGGAGAGAAGACAGCTGGTGAAACGAGCCATGGTGAGGACACCGCTGGACTGAGGGAAAGGTAAGTGGCTGTATTTTAAAAGTCAGCAGCCACAGTTTTTGTAGCTGCTTACTTTTATTTTTTTTTCCAGCTGGAACTCTGCTTTAACCTCCAGTATGTTCACATAATTTTTCATGTAAATTATTCAGGTATGTTTCCTATACATTTATCAATCTTAAAGTGTTACTAAACCCACAACAGGAAAATTAGTCTGTATATGCAGTTAAGCATGCTTGTTATTCTCACTGTGGAGCCGAAGGGGTTAATCCTCTGGATTGTGTAAAAAGGCTGTTTGGTCCTGTTTTCTCTGCTCCTCCTCTTGTTCAAATGTCTACCTGATAAGACAGACTGAGCCCGTAGTCACATGCACATGCTCACTTTATTGTGTATTGCTAGAGAGGCTTGTTCTTGGGAGAGTGCACGTGATCAGCACAGGGCCAATCAGCACTGTCCAGACAGAGGGTCAGGGGTTTTGCATCCTCCTAGAGCAGAAAGAAAAATCCTCCTACAAGCTTTAACCATTTCAATACCGTGCAATTTTACACCTTCCTGCCCAGGCCATTTTTCAGGTTTCAACGCTCTCACACTTTGAATGACAATTGCGCGGTCATACAACACTGTACCCAAACTAAATTTCTTCACACAACTAGAGCTTTCTTTTGGTGGTATTTAATCACCGCTGGGGTTATTATTTTTTGCTAAATTAACAAAAAAAGACCAAAAATTTTGAAAAAAAAAACACATTTTTCTTTGTTTCTGTTATAAAAGTTTACAAATAAATAATTGTTCTTCATAAATTTAGGCCGAGATGTATTCTGCTACATGTCTTTGGTGAAAATAACCCAAATTAGAATGTATTTTTTAGTTTGTAGGAAAGTTTATAGAGTTCACAAACTATGGGATAGATCTGAATATTGATCAATCCTGAAGTACTGACAGCCAATCTAATTTCTTGAGGTCCCAGAATGTCAGAACAGTACAGATATCCCCAAATGACCACTTTTTGCAGAGTAGACAGTCCGACGTACTTCATAAGAGGCATGGCGAGTTTTTTGAAGTTGTATTTTTTTGTCATAATTTTTCGGAAAATGAAAAAATTAAAAAAATTATTTTCACTATTTTTTTTTTTTACATACTGTCACCAGTGCAGTACAGCATCATCATATAACTGGCATGGCGGTGATCAGGGACACTGACTGGTGACAGTATGAAAAAAATATATATATATTTTTTTTTTAATTTTTTTATTATATTTAATTTTTTATTACATTTTTTTAAAGATTTTTTTTTCATATTTTACTATGACCAAAGTAGTACAATGTTACCATAGTAACATTGTACTACTTTGTGGAAGTGATCAGTATTTTTTTTTTTTTTTTTTACACAATTTGCTTATAGCAAAGAATTACTTTGCTATAAGCAAGCATTTACCTGAATGAAATCGATTCATTCAGCTTTTTTTTTTTTTTTTTTTTTTGTGCTTAGCTGTGATTTGGTCACAGCTAATCACATGACATGTGCATGTGATTAGCTGTGACCATTCACAGCTAGGCACTAGTATACAATGGATGGCATCATGAATGAAGCCATCCATTGTATACAACTGTCATGTGACCTGCTGTGATTGGTCACAGCAGGTCACATGGTACCAGCAACGGGAGCCGGTACTCGGATCTGTCATCGGCCGTGTCCGAGGTGCACGGCCGGT